ATTTCACCAAATTTTAAACATTTTCCTGCGACTTTAATGATACACTTTGTATTTCCTTTGGTAAAAACGTGCAAACTTCTGCGTCCACCAAAAGGTGACCCTTTCTGAGGAAATCGTGACCCAATTAAGCATTATGACTCATGTCTGGGTTGCAAACTACCAGAAAATGTGCTTTGTTTTGATTTCATCCACGTTAACTTCAGCGCTAAAATATCCAACCGGCTTCGATTCTTTATTTTCCAAGCCACGTAATACTTTCTGACTGCTTCTTAAGTCGACTCCTTTCATTTTTTGTATTATGTGCTGTTTTATTCTTGACACTTCCAATTGTGTGACCACCAAGCATAACACATCAATTTTGTTTATTTTTATCTTCTTAAAACGGTTTCGAACACAAACTACGTGCGTTGCTCCCACTCTGTTAGGACAGTTACTTGAGATATGTCCTTCTTGGTTGCAACTGAAACACTTTCTATTCGCCACACAATTATTTCGCAAGTGCTCATAAGATCCTTAGAGTACCTTTTTTTCCCGTTCTGTGCTTTGTTCTATTGCGCTCGGTACTTCTTTTTCTGCTTAGACATAATTAAACGATCGTAGATTTCAAACTCAATTTTCAGCTCAAGGCACTTGCAGCGTAGCACTAAGCATTTTTATTCGTTCCGAATGTCCAGTCCGTTGACCATTTGACTGATTATCGCCTCTATTCCACGTTCCTCATCGCAGCAATCCTGCACATATGCAACAAGTTGTCATATAGCGATTTGCTTTTAAACCTTCTAAGCTCTTTTTACTTTCTATGCTCATCTGCACTATTCCAAGATCGAGAAAACTCGTCTACCAACGAGTCTTTTAACTTATAATAAAGTTTTTATCTGGAAGAGTTCGTGAGCCTCGGAATTTCTTTCAAAAATTTCAAACTAATTTGCAATTGGAACGGATTCCTCAACTCCCAACTTTAGGGCCAACAACTGTTCTATTTTTCTTTCCATTGACTGTATTTACATTTGAATCTTCTTGTCGCTACATTGTCGGTTTCGAAGCAAAGCAGCGTTTCTATCTCGCTCACGCTCTCTGGCTTATCCTCTCGTTTTTGTCGGCTACTCTGACTCCTTCCTGGTGTTCGCTTCGCCCTCTCTGGCTTACTCTCTCTTGACGACGAAACAAATGCGCAATTTCGTTTCGTTAGCTTTCGTTACAAATTTTTCCTTTAGCCTCGACTTTTAGCTGAGTGGTCAACATCAACTTCTTTCAAAATCCTTAGTGTTTTTTGTATTCGCTTTGCACTACCGTTTTTTTGTACACACTACGCTTTGGAAGAGCCCCCAAAATTTGGTGTTCATTATTATTTGATAACTGTTTAATATTATGATTTACAAGGGTGCGTTTTAAGTTTATCTTAGTTCTTTAGTCTTTCGATTCGACATATCTGCGCGCGTCTTAAACGAAATATCTTCGCGCGGAGTCGCTGTTGATTCGGCGTTTATGACACATATCCACATTATGTTATTATTGGGCCGGCGCTATGGCAGCCGGAGTGTGCGCTGTTCATCAGTGTCACCGATTTGCCCGGGATATGGTAGATTCGTCGCTGGAAAACTAGAAGCTATCGAAGGCAGGACCATATTTTGAGGCACTCGCAGTATGGGGAATTTTTAGTTATATATAATATTTAGTTATTTTATCAAAGTTTAAATATTTGGGTTTTTTTTTATGTAAACATATTTAAAAAAAATTGCTCCATATGACTCCATACCAAAAATATTAATTAACAGTGCAGTTTTAAGGCTATGCACTGTTAAAGTCAGCTGTTGCAGCCCAAGGTTGAGAAGAGGCAGTTTTTGGTTAGCTACTTTGAAAGTGCGACACTTAAAAGTTAAACAAGCTATTAATTTAATTTATGATGGAAAACAATCATACTGGTTTGTGTTATATGTTGTGTGTACTAATATTTTGATATGTGCCTGTCTTACTAAAATTTGGCCAATTTTAAAAAAGGTCTAAGAGGTAATTTTTTGGGAAAAAAAAAATTAACTTTACGTAGACTTATAAAAAAAAAAATATCGTTAGTTTAATATAAGTTAATAATTGATTATTTGTGTGCGAGTTTTTCGAATATTATTTATTAATCATTTGTTTCGCACAAACCCGTTAGGGTTAGTGTTACTGACAAAGATTAAAGAAAATAGAACGCGAGCTAAGGCTGCGGAGTTCTACTTAACCTAAATTGAAATACTACCCGGGCTGTACTTCGAAGCCTTCGTTGGGCTGCGGCGCAGTTGCACAGTTGCAGTGTCAGCATTCCGTATCCGACCAGCAACGATCACTTGTTGCGCAAGTGCCCGAGCCGGTCCGCGCACATTTGCCCTTGGAATGCCTAGTCAGCACCTCTTTCGTTACGCGTGCGGGCCACCGTATCCGGTGTGCAATTAGGCACTTTTCCTTAATTCTGCCTGCGCGTGTTAACTTTTATGTCGTAGAGCCATTAATTATGAATAAAAGGCAATCTGTCTCAATGTGCGCAAATGCGCACAATCTGCGTAATTTCGTTTTTTGTCAGGTATCTTCCAGTTTTCAAACGCGGAGCTTTTCGAAGTATGGCGTAAGGAGACGGAGAACTCAAAACAAGAAAGATCAATTCTTGATTTTCTTTCGAGCAAAATAAGTATAAACATTGATGTTGTAAAGCACAACAACTATTTGAAAAAGAAAAGCCGTTTATTTTTCCTAAATATAAGTGGTAAAAGGAAGATATACAAGAGAAACAAAAAACATTTTAAGAAGAAGTACGCAAATTGGCTGCAAATTCGGAGCTTAAGAGTTATATTAATTTGCTTGTCTTGTCAACTGCCGATTGATCTGAAGAAATTTGAACAATTTTGTTTTAAAACTGGGGAACAAATTTTGGATTGTTATCCATGGTTGCCAATGACGGCAACTGTTCAGAAAATAATTGTCCACTCAAGGGAGATATTGGAAAATACAATACATTCCCTTGACTATTTCGGAGAAGAAGCGTCGGAAGCGCGCAACAAAATTTATAAAGCAGATAATTTCATGGATGTTTTCAACAGAGCCTTAGATACTTCTGATCATGTCATTTCTTCAACAAACCTTATGAAGCGAATTCGGAAGCATAAAAGTATATAACTTCCTTCATGAGTTTTAAGCCTTTTATTGTGCAATTTCAAGGCCAGGATCAAATTGAGAAAATTGGAGATGAAATTGACGATTTTTATTTTATGTCTGACGAAGACCTTGAGAATAAAAATATTTTATAAACTTATTAGTGTATTATTTGGTTTTTACATTATCAATTTTTCTATATGACATAAAAAAAATTGTTTCTCGTCCTGGGAGGGCGAATATTAAAAAAGAACCGTTTTGACAAATCGCATTTGTTTAAAAAGTTTTTGATTAACTTATCAAGGGCGGAACCACGCCCATTTTACAAAAAATATTTGCACCAATCTCCATAAGACTAATACAAAAAACCGTTTCGAAAAATCTTGTTTAGTTTAAAAGTTAATAAGTAATATTTCGTCAGGGAAGGGGCGGAGCCACACCCATTTTTCTAAAAACATTCCTATCGGTGTCCTATACTATCGGATTCCTATACAAAAAAAAACCGTTTCGAAAAATCTTACTTAGTTTAAATGTTATTAATTAATACCATGAAATCGGCCAAATTCCCCATAGTGAGTCGTTGTGCGAAGGCTAAGAAGCACCAAGCAAACAAGCAGGTGTTTGGGAGTGTTGGGACTTGATAGCGCATAGCTACACGCACCAAACAGTCTACTCGTCATGGCCAAATAAGAACATGGGTCAGGTTTAAATTAATCTGCCCGTGGCTTCCGTAGGGACTTCGAGGGGATAATAGTGTGCGTCTGGTGTCCCTTCGTCGCATTGTCTCTACTCGCCGGCTAGACTGTGAAAGTCCTCTTCCCAGCACCGTTCCTTATCGACTCATAAGAATCAGCTTTTCATCTCGAAAACAGAAGTGAATGTCGTGCAATTCTTTGAGCTATTGTAAGCTCCTTACTCCTGTAAGCCATATTCACTCTGAGCCTGTAGTCATTTGTGTTGAGGCAACGCTCATTAAGAGCCTTCTCCTGTTCTATCTCGGACCTCTGGTATTGAAAGAAAACTGGTGAGCTTATAGCTGCTTAAGTTGAACGTATTTCTTTATTTCATTTTTCCTTAATTCCTTTTTCCTTAATTCCTAAATAATTAGACACTAAAATGGTCTAATTTATATTTAAGAAAACTTATCTAGCAACAGATCTTGAGCAAATGAAAAACTACGCTTTCTGTCTATAGCATTGGTGGGCAAAACTAACACATGTTTAAATTTGAGTGTGTGCGTAGCAGAGAAAAACAATGAGAGCAGAGAATTCACTGAGCGAAAAAAACGTATGTTTTTATTTCATTTTTCGTTAATTCAATAGTTGGAATGGGCACTAAAATTAAGTATTTTATTTTAAAAAAAGCTTTGCTAGCAACATTTCTTAAACAAATGAAAAACTACGCTTCCCTATCTATATTCTCCATGAAAAAAACTTTTTCCAACCCAATTTCTGAGAAAATTTTTCGAAGTGGAAAAATTTTGATTTTTAGTTTGGGCTGTCAAATGAATTAAAATGAGAGCAAATGAGAAAGCTTCTAAAAAAAATTTGAGAGTCTTACACTGTCAGTGTGCCGGCAGCGCTGCGGCAGAATTTCCTACCCTATACTCGCGTGCTATGTAAAATGAGAGTTTGCCCACCACTGGTCTATAGTTTCTATGGAGAAAACTTGTTCCAACCAAATTTCTGAAAAATTTTTATCAGTGTGTCAGTGTGCAGGGCGCGCTGCGGCAGCGCTTCAAAATGCACGCGTTCTATGGAAAATGAGCGTTTGCTTTTATAGTTTCTGTTTTTATCGTTTATTACCTACTTCTTAATGAAATATAAAATCAACCAAAATTAATCAACTTTCCAATATTTATTTCCATTTTTCAGAACACACTGTATGAGTATATTCTGGAAGCTATTTCAAAACGAGATGATTGTAGGGGAAAAAGCCTTATAACTGATTATACGGTTCTAAGAAAAGTAATAAAAAAAATGCCGTTGAACTAATTTATTTATAATGTGGTTTTTTAAATATAGATATGGACTCACCCAAAAGTTTTGGAAGATGCTTGGAAAAATGCTAATAAGGTAATACCAAATTCTTTTTTAGTAAAAAAATATATGCAAAGCTTAAATTTAAAATTTTTTTCATATATTAAGGACTAAAATTGAAAAAATTTACAAAAATGAGTTAGAATTTTATATCAACATGACTCGTTCTTGCAAAAATAAAAAATATTTACCAAAAGTAGTTTTCTAAAGTAAACAGAAGCTTATGTAAACGTTAACAGAAGTAAAACGTAATACTGATACTGAAGAAAAAAATCTCATACAACTTATATTTTATTATATTATATACAATACAAATAACACAGTGCAACAGTGATTTTGGACTATAAAAGTGACTTAGTGAGAATCGTCTATCAGGTCGAATAACACAAAGCAGTGCTTGAAATATTTGTAACACCCTATAAAATTGATGATTCAATTTTTTAAACAAAATGAATAACATTTTTACACAAGAAACTGAAATTTTCGCACCTGTTTTTTTGGATTTTGACGTCATTTTTTTCGTTACAAATTCTATCATTCATGATTCAATATTTTCTCATTAATACTGAATAAAACGAGACCAATTTTATTAAGAAATTATGATAATTGTTTAAGTTAATTATATCCTTTTTCAGGATTTATTTAAGACGCGAGTTACTGTGCAAATGAGAAGACTGTTTTTTTCAACTTAGTTATGAACATAAATACTTATATAGAAAGCTATCCCTAAGTTCTGAAAGTGCTGACCCGGCTCCCTTGCTTGGTGTTGGGTAGCCGCTGATTAGTTGCAGTGCTTTGCCCTCTGACTGCGCTGACCTGAAGGCGACGTCGTTTCACAGTATCCACTGGTGACTCTGGCCTTGCCTTATTTTCTATGCGGGATCAGCTTGGCAATTTTGTTGTTGATGGGTAACCGTGGTAACTCCTCCCTTGCTTAGATGAAGGACGTCCTCGGTCTTCTTGAAACTGTCAATAATAACTTGGCTTATAGCACAAATTATAGGCTTTTGACCAGTCCCTTTTCCATTTCGCCAATGAATCGTAGGTAAACTTAGTACTTCTTGATGGCCTGTAATGTTAAGGACCGTTGATGCAGCGGGGGCTGGTGTTTTACAGTGTTGTTTAATTTTATCTCCTTATAAAATTTAATTAACGTTCCAGTTAGAACATTGAGAGTAGCTTTCACGTCATTGAAAATAATAACGCCATCGTCAATGATTGTTAGTGGCTCAAGGTGGCTGGTGCGAGTCGCATGGCCTCCTGAGTGGAGTTGTGCGCAGGATGTGTGGGAAATTTCCCTGAAATATGTTGTATTAAGGGCAGCGCTGCAGTTTCTAATCGGCATAATTTTCTTCCCGCACTCATCTACACTATTTTCTTCAGCAAAATTAAGAATAGTGCCGTATGACACTCTATGTATGGCTTAGGATATTTTAATATAAAGTGTAAAAAATTATTGATCAATAAAACTTTAATTTAAGCAACTGTCATTCGAACAGTATTAGTAATATTTGTGGAATTTCATTGATTACATTTTGTAAATCATTAGAGTCTAAAATTGCGAGGTTGATTATTTTACTGACAACATCAAGGCTTCAAGTTCGGAAATAATAATTCTATTTCTTGAAAGCAAGCTAAAATATAAATTCTCTGTATTTATTCGTTTTTTTTATTAAAAGGCTTACCGTTTTTGTAAGGCTGTTTATTTGTTCTTGGGGTTTTTTGTTTATATTTATCTGCCTATTTTTTGATTCTATGAGTTCTTTCTGCGTGAATTTAATGTTCTCGAAGTCATCAATATCTGGAGTACCGGCTACAATTATTAATGCGGTACCTAATAAATTAAATGTGTCGTTATTATGTGTCGTAAATCTGAGTCTAATGTCTGTCTCATATGTGACTAAGGAAAATGGTTTCTCAATCCTTATGTTTTTTTTATAATTTCTGCGTTTATTGTTTGGTTGGTCGAATGTTTGAGGTACTGAAAGTCCTTCCAAATAGTAACATCTCCGTCTATGATTGGTATGTAATTTGAACTCGTGTAGTCGGTTAATTTAAATGCTATGAGTACGGCGAGAAGTTCTTATCGTCCAAATCCTAGATAAAAAAAAATAAAAAAACGCTTGGTTGTCGATAGAAATTAATAAGTTCTTAGGACGCGATTTGTACATCTCCAATGGTTCTAAAAGCAATTGGTTTAACAATTGAAAATTTTGAAAATGTATTTTTTGTAAATTTTTTGAAATATAAGAGATGTCGAGTCCTTCGAACTAAAGAAGTTCCTCTTTCTTTTATTATTATTTGGTTCCGAAAGAAGTTGATCGGCTTATCTGCTTTTTCGATAGTGTAAGTGAATGATAACTCGCCATGTCAATGAATAAAAGCTTCGTCAATGAAAGCTTCCCAGCGCTTAATTTTTGCGTTTGGATTGCGATATTAAGACGGCAAACGTTAGTAGCTGGTGGTTAGTAAAAATAGGTAATTCCTTAGGCTTTTTGAGGCACGTAACATTGCTAATAGTTCTCTTTCGTTGGTTGCAATACTTAAATATCTGTCTTTTAAAATTCGAGAAATCAAGGTTTTGGGTTTTCCGTCTTGTGATAAAACCAAAAGACTAAGCATCTGTCGTTAGATCAAACGCTTTTTTGTAAGTTGGATAAGTTTTTTGTAACAATACGTTTTCAGACGCGAGAACATTGACGCTGATGCATGTCGAATTTAACGGGACCTCTCCCTTCTTGTTCCTACAAGAGGACCTCTCCCTTGCTATCTACTGATGTGCCCAAGAGTGTGCTATCCTTCCTGCGGCGGCTCGCGGCCCCATCCTTATTTACGGATGAAAGCTACGAGTCTGCGTGGAGCAATCTCTGCGAGGTCTGTTAGGTCCGTGAGTGTTGCTGCGCCCAAGAATTTGAGACGGCTGCGCCCCGGCGCAGGGCATTGACACATGAGGTGTGCAACTGTCTCTTCCTCTTCTACATCCCCACAGCTCCTGCAGTAGTCATAATGTGGCACCGCTAGTCTAGCCGCGTGTGTTCCTATTAACCAGTGTCCCGTAATGGCCTTGAATGGCAGACTACAGTCCTGCCTATTAAGGGCAATAAGCATCATTGATCTCTTCCTAGAGCGGATGGGCCATATCATGCGTGAGTTCCTGCAGTTTTGGAGATTTCTCCATTTCCTCAGTGATGCGCGGTCAAAGTGATCCCTGCATTTTAGCCCACACGTAGCTAAGGGGATGCCTACTGGTTTCTTCTCCGGGAGGAGAGGATTGGTAGTACCTGCTCTTGCTAGTTCGTCGGCGGCGCAATTACCCTCGTGGTCCCTATGTCCGGGCACCCATATGAGGTGGATGTCATACTGTTCTGCCACCTCGTTAAGATATCTGCGACAGTCATTCACTGTCATTCCGTCAAGGGCTTTGGGTGCCGCTTGACTGTCTGAGAAGATACAGATTGTGTCTTGATTGCCAGTAAGTGCTGGGGATCTAAGTGCTTCCCCGATAACACACTTGGAACTTCTGCTTGGAACACACTACAGTGGTCGGGGAGTCTGAAGGACTCTTTTAGACACAGCCGTTCGCAATATAAACCGCCTCCCCCTGGATTCAATTTTGAACCGTCTGTGTAAATATGGAAAAAATCGGCTGGTCCCGGGATTTGTGTGGCCCATTCATCCCTTGTTGGAATGGAAACCTTGTATTTTAAGGTGGGATGATCAACAGGTACGCAGTAATCTGTAGCCCCCGTTGGCGTGCAGTGGTGTAGGTCCAACTTGGTATGTCCATACTCGGTCCTTTTCCATATACCCGTCTCGCGTAGCCTAATTGCCGATAGCGTGGCTATCTTGGCCCCCATTATCTCTACAGGTAATAGGTCGAGTATGAGCATGTGTAATCCCTAGGTACTTGGCGCTACCGCTGCGGCAGAGTTTTTCTCCTGATAGCTTTGGAAGCCTTAAGTTTGGTATTTTGTACTTCCTGGTGAAGAGGACAAGCTCGGTTTTGGACGGGCTTACACCAAGTCCATTCCTAACTGCCCATGTTGAGAGGAACCTAAGTTTTTCCGTCATGCGGTCACATAGAGGATGGTTAAATTTCCCAGAGAAGGCAATTGCGACATCATCCGCGTAAGCGATAACTTTGCAACCACCACCTTCTAGGGATCTCAGTAGGCTATCAACCGCTACGTTCCACAGTAGGGGTGAGAGTACGCCTCTTTGTGGAGTGCCTCTTCTGACGTATCTATGAATAGAATCTTCTCCTAGTGACGCCTCAACAGTCCTGTTTACCAAGATCTGCTTTATAAGGCGTACGGATTGATTGTCTATACCTAGACTCGTCAGCGCATCGATTATCGAGCTTGGTAGGATGCTGCTGAAAGCACTTTTTATGTCTAGAAAAGCAATGAGTGCGTATTCCTTGTCACTAAGTGCCTTTTCGACAAAAGTAGTGATCTCGTGGAGTGCCGTCTCCGTGGATCGGCCCTTCCTATACGCATGCTGTGATCCCGAGATATCATCTGGGTTGATAGTAAGATTAGTGTGGAGGCTGATTAGTCTCTCCATTGTCTTGATGAGGAAGGACAACAGGCTTATAGGTCTAAAGTCCTTCGGGGCGCAGTGCGATGGTTTTCCCGCCTTGGGTATAAATACGACTTTCGTCCGCAACCACATTGCCTATTCTGAAAATTGCTGAGAAAGCTTTCTTAACCCAAGACCTCAGATTGGGTCCGGCTTTAATTAGTTAAGCCGGGACAATGCCATCTGGGCCTGGAGATTTGAAAGGCTTGAAGCTATTTATCGCCCAGCTAAGATACCTGTCACTCAATAGGTATTCAAGTTGGTTAGGGAGGGAGGGGCTATCCACCTGTCTCTGCGTTCCCAGGGTTGTTTCTTCTAGAGAGCATCACGGGAAAAGTGCCTCTGTGAGGGTGTCTCTAGGGTTTCTTTGCTGGACGATGACCAGTTTCCTTCTTAGGTTTTAATGTATCCTTTGTTTGGTGCAGTAGTTGCGAGTCGGGAGGCCTCTGATGTTT